TACGGCCCCCACCCCCAGCGCACGGAAATGCCGCGCCTGCCACGCCCTGGGAGCCTACGACGCATAGGGCCCCCACCCCCAGCGCACCCCCTTGTGGCGTCGAGGAAATGCCACGCCTGCCGCGCCCTGGGAGCCTGCAGCGCATAGGGCCCCCACCCCCAGCGCACCCCCTGTGGCGATCTAAAGTGTAACGCACGCCGTGCCCTGCGCCATGGCCTGCTGAGCCGCGCTGTGCTGAGCTGAGCTGTGCTGAGCTGTGCTGTGCTGTGTGTGTTGGGGGGAGGGGAGGTGTGTGTGAGGAGTCGCGGGTGCGCCGCGGCAGAGAAGAAAACCATAACCCCACGAAACATGTGGGGACAAATCAATGGACGCCCTGGGGTCTCAGGGGTGGCTTTCTTGTGGAAGGCTTATTGTGGACTGGCCTCCGCTGTAGAGGGTGACGCCTTTTTTTGGAATACGCCCTTGGCAAAACAGTCTTGGGGTGTTTTGCTAACGGGGTGCTCGTCCACTCCCAGAGCAGGCAGATGTGCCTCTCGGCTCCCTAGAGGGCTTCTTGGAGGGCAGGAGGGGTGCCAAGGAGGGCTTCTTGGGGGGCAGACATAATGAGGCAACGACAAGCATACGGAAACATAGAGACACATCGAGAAACAACCAGTAACAGAGATAATGCAGGAGCTTGAAACACTGACCTCCAGAGGTTAGGGTTTCCTGTTTCGGAACCTCTCTCCCTTTACAAAGAGCAAAGGCGCGAAACAGCGGCAACGAGGTAGCTTGGGACACTACCCTCTGGAGAGTAGGGTTCTACGTCGGAGCCGCCCTTCCCATACAAGGACAACTAAAGAAAACAACAGACGAGCACATAAACAAACATACCGAAACAACGAGCCACATCGAGAAACATCGAGGAACAGCTACGATCAGAGAGACAAAGGGAGGTTGGAACACTAACCTCCAGAGGTCAGGGCTCCTTATTTTGGAACCTCGCTGCCCATACGAAACTAATTATATACACGCACGAAGAACACAAACCGGATGAAACGACACACGATGGTAAGCAGCGACGATCGGGGGTGGACAGAACCCCCAACAGTGACACGTCGATTAGTGAATTGTTTGTTTTCGGTTCTCGAGAGGGCGCCGTGGCCGTTATTTTCCAGGCTTGCGCCCGCCAGGTTTGGGCCTCAGGTCGATTTCACTAAACCACGTTTTACTAAAGGGGGGTCTGTCCATCCCCGAGATGAACAGCTATTTAAAAGAAGGTTTGAATCCGCAGTCTGGAACACTGACCTCCAGAGGTTAGGGCTTCCTGTGTCGGAGCCTCCATACTCATTCACTGGAAAACAATCAGGGAGAAACAGAGACAGGCATCATGTATTCAAGTCGAAGCAAACAGCGACACATAGAGAATGATCGAAAGGTTCACACATACACACATATCTATATACATAGAGAGAGAGAGGGAGAGAGAGAGAGAGAGAAAGAGAGAGAGAGAGAGAGGAAAAGACAGAGGGGGAGAAATAACGAGGGAGAGAGAGAGAGATATTGGAACATTAACATCTGGAGGGTCGGTTTTCCTACTTCGGAATCTCCATCCCCATGCAAAGGAAAAGGAGCGGCAAACAGACAGAGTGACAGATGCGCGATGAACGCAAATCGACAAAGTAGAGCAGAAGGGGGCAGCGGGAAAACACCGAGGGCTTCATGGTGCCTGAGGTTTTTTTTGTCCGGCGCGCGCTGTCCGAACGTGACGCAGCAGGAAGCCGCGCCCATAGCGCCGAGGCGCCGTGCCCAGAATTTGGAGGGAAAGGGGAGGGCCCCCACGACGCCGGCCAGCACAGGGGAGTGCGCGGCAGCGGGATGGTGGGGGGCGTTGCCTCCGCGAACGTCATCGGCAACGCTCACCTCAGACCAGGAGGTGCCACTGACCACTCTGTAGACCCTAGCGGAGCGGGTGGGCCCAGGCAGCACGGCTTGCCCACCGTGGCGGGTACTCTGGAAATTCCCCGGCCTGACGGCCCATGGTGCCTGAGGCCCTGTGAAACGCGCGGATGCGCTCGGCGCCGAAGGCTTCGTGGCTGTGGCAAACCGTGCGAGACGCCCTCGCGGAGGGCTTCGCTGCACTTTGGACCCCTTCGTGGAACTCGCGGGTGCGCTCGGCGCCGAGGTCTGCGTGGTCCTCTGGCGCCGTGCGGCATTTGCGGGTGTGCTGAAGGTTTCGTGGCACCTTGAAACGACGTGGGACCTTCTGGGACGCGTTACTGGGCTTGACGTTCTCAAGCTGTGTGGGACGCGTCAGTGAGCGCGGCACCGAGGGATTCCGGGTGCTTTGACACCGCGTGCAGCCGCCGTCATCGGGACTCACTGATTGTGGGAGGTCGTGCCATTTCTGTAGATTTGACACCTGTTCGACACCCGCGCGCCTTCATCTGAAATTCGGGGTCGGAGTTTTTCAAGGTGGCTTGAGCGCGGAGGGGCCGCTGCCCAGGCGCACCAAGCGTCGCAGAAACTTGGTCACTTGTTGGGCCCGCGTCGGCTCGGCGTTCGCGCAGCGCCCGATGTGATTGCACGAGGCTCTCTTGGATATGATGTGTACACGTCGAGTCCCAAGGCTTCATGCCTGGTAACCGCAGGAAGCA